GACCCAGCACTGGGAAAGCAGTAGTTGTGAACAGAAGCGTTCGTGAACCGAGGTACCACTGTATATGGGTGCAAGTAAAAGTAAGAGAAAGTGGAGGTTGAAAGGAGGATGGAGTTTACTGAAGCAGAGTGGTGTAAAGTGTAAATAACATGGAGCAGGAGTGGGATACTAGACAACCATTCCCCACATGGTTGTGTGAGTGTGTGATTTAGCTTTGGATTGCTCCATTCAAAACTTTGTGGGACGGTGGGATAGAGCTTCAGGAGGCTATATATATGGAGGAGTATAGATCCATAGTGGTGGGCAAAGGAGAAATGATGGGAGGTTCTGGGCTGGCCATTACAGTCGAAGAGGAACTTGCAATTTAGTGCCAGTTCCCAGTTCAGGCCGATCTGCCTCTTTCCTGAGTCCAGATGATCAGATGTCAGCTATTTTCCACTTCCATGTCTTTTCATGACTTGGTAGTAGATTACCTATCTCACAGAACCTAGTCCAATATTTACCCACTAGTTTTCTGGAGCTGCACAGCCACAAATCCAAAGTTGGGAAGGGGGCCTGGCAATGACTGGGATCAGAGGTGCTGATCAGAGGTACAAGCACACACCCCTGGTAACCCATGGATATGATGTGCAATTAGGTCGGAGAGACAAGGTAGGCTTGCAGATTACATACTGTCCCCCATGTGAGTAACTTCAAATTCCATGTATAGGTTTCAGTTGAGCTCAAGATTTTATGGCCTCCTAGGTCACCTCTCACCTAATCGACATGATTTGCTACAAGTTAGAGCTGGTGTTTATTTCAGAGTAGTAGCGGCAGCATGATCTAAATATTGAGGACATTGATCCATCCATGGCAGAGGACTGTTAACAGTCTCTGATGCATATGTATATTGCCACTTTGCTTGATTGGTGGTGGTGGGCCAATTAAAATATTTCACTGCAAGCACCTAATCAATTCAGATGGTTTCCTGGGGATGTTTGGAGGTTTTTTTTTTTTCCCAGCTGCACACCTGGTTGTACTCTAGAACTCAGAGGTGACTAATGCATCAGAAGAGATTGTCCCAAGCAGTCTTTCCTGGATTTGCAGATCCCAGAGGAACTCCTTGACTCTACAAGGAGCTCCAGAAAATAAAGCAGCTCTAGAGCAATGCTGGCATAAAAACTAACTGTGATTGCAGTCAACATGATTATGTACTCAAGTTCATGAATATTCTTTGGCAACAAGATTGGTGAAGTATTCTTACTAATCCCTACTCTTACTGCAGATTTGTGTCTAGTGGCCTTGTTTAGTATTACCTTTATCCTTTTTGGTAAGGAGGTGGAAGAAGAACTCCCTGCTGGCTACTATGATGTTTTCATGAGGTTCTTCATGGATAAAAAGATTTGCATTCATTTGGAAATTAATGCCAGACAGTGTGTATGTGCCAGGATTTGAGAGGCGATCCAAACATTTTTAAGAGAGTGGGAAGTATCATCTACCTTGAAGGAGGCAGAGGTGTGCCGTCTCCTAAAGAGACCATCTCTTGATACAGCCTTGTTAGATAACATCCACCTAATCTCTAACCTTCCCTATTTGGGGAAGAATTTGGAGAAGGTATTGGGACTTTAGCTATAGAAGATCCTAAACACATTATCTAGACTCTTTTCAGTCAGAATCCAGACCTGGTCTGATGATCCCCATTTTGTTTATGTTTCAAAGCTCTGAAAACCATCCTTTTCCAGTGGCCTTTTGGGGCTCACTTGTGTGATGTATTTTTATTGTATTAATTTTGGATTGTTGTTATTTTTTGTAAATTGTCCTTAGTTAAGAGAAATTGGGGTAGTGAAAAAATATTTTAATAAATACATAAATAAAATTCTGATCCAGCCACACCCTAAGGACCCAGCACTGGGAAAGCAGTACTGAGGGGAATTTCCTTTCAATTCAGTTTTTCTTTCTTTCTTTTTTTTTTAAAAACTTGCATGCTATTGGATTGTATTTTTTTTTCAAATGTGACAGTCCTTAGGGATGGTGGAAGGCCAGGGGAACATGATAGAGGGCCTGAAAAAATATCATAACTCACTGTCCTGCTGTAGCATAAGAAAGAGACTGAGTTATAAATTAATGGTACAACTGTTGTCACTGCTGTGAATTCACCTGATTACCTTAACAAGACACAATAAGATGGCTTACCTTACTAGGTTACAACCAGTAACATTTACAACCAGATAATGCATGTAAAAGATTTGAATGTTTAATATTTATTTTTATGCCAACATTGCCACTTTACCTGGGAAGTAACTAGATTATTTTCCATTTTGAATGATCCTATAATAATTTTCACAGCAGTATGGGAAATGATGGTGCCACCCATATGCCACACATAATGTAATGGAACAATGTCTTACATTTGCAAAAATTGAGTAAAATGGTAATATTCTCTCTTTGAAGGTTTCGAGGCTTCCTTAAAACTTACTATTTTTTATAGATAATTACTATTTTTATAGATAATTGAAATTCTATCTGCCATGTGATAGTCTAGAACTGTCTCAATGTGGATTTTTCTAGTAAGATTAATATAGAGATGAGAGCATGATTAAATTATATGCTGGATGAAGCAAATATGTTATGTTTCAATGTTCTGTTCTTTCCTCAGTTTAGCCCTTAATGTGGCATCAAAACAGAAAACTCAGGATAACATGGATCAAACCCAACATGTGAAAGGTGTGCTAAGGGATTCAATAGCATTGCTTGAACAGGTAAGTATTCCTGTCCTTATTGTTTTGAGTCATTGTATATGTAAGTATCAGACATCACTGTGAATATCTAGAGCAGTGTTTCTTATCCTTAGCAGCTTTTAGATGTGTGGACTGCAACTCCCAGAATTCCCCAGCCAGCATTCTGGGAATTGCAATCCACACATCTTAAAGTTGCCAAGGTTGAAAAACACTGATATAGAGGAATAAGAAACAGCATCCTTTTTCATTTACTTTCTAAAAATTATTGATGGTTATGGTAAGTTAATGGTATAAAAACTAGCTTAGTTCAGGAATCTCTTGTTACATTCAGCAAGAATAGCCTAGCTGTAACATCTTGAACTAACTGATGTACTGAATCTGCTGTCATCTGAGAATAATGTTGAAAGCTGCATTGTACACTCTCCACTGGGGACAAACAGGGAAGTTCCTGTGCTTCAATGGTAGTTGCCAAAATCTGATGCCAAGTGACCTCAGCAGATGCACACCTAACTGACAGAATGGAGGGTGGTGATTTGGGGCAAGAGGCAACAAAGGACTGTGAAAACCTCAGTGCTCAGAGGACCAGTGACCCAGAATGGGACGGCACAGAACCAATCAAAATCAGAAAGAGACAGCTTTTAGGAAGCAGCTTGGATATGAAGTGACCAACTACCAATCTGGTGATCATGAGACAGCCAAAGGTCTTGGTTCTGATTATCCTGACAGGTAAGAAGGTAGTCTGGAGGAGGAGGATCTCAGAGGGGATCTGTCCCAAATTTTCCCCTTCTGAAGGTTGAAGAAGAGTCTGTAAGCACTGGAGATTATAAATTGGAGAGTCTATTAATGGCAGGAAGTGTATTGTTGCTGAAGCCAAAATCAGAGAGGCAGCAAAGCCTTTATCCCTTTTTTCCTTTTTCCTTTTTCCTTGGTTGGAACTGGGGAGATTTCTTCAAAAGTTCTGAACTCTTTCCTTGGTGCCAGTAATGATACAGAAGAAGTCTGAGGATCCTCTGCATGTGATATAAAATTACATTGATCTCTCAGAGAGACAGTGGAATCAGCAGATAATTTGGAGAGCATGGTAGGAGGCTTGGAGGAAGATGAGGGGCTATACAATAGCTTCCAAATTTGCCTCCATTAAAGCTTGCTCCCAGAGGGTGGCTTGCAAATGAAAAGAGTGATAACAAGCATTAGTAAATATGACATTCAGCAAGGCAAAAAAGAATACAGTATGTCTATCCAAAGGGGGGAGTGGAGTTTGTTTCTGCATTTCTGAAATGAGGTCCTTAGGGTCATAAGGCCAAAGACTAGACGCCTCCAGCAGGAGGACATGGTGTTCTTACAAACAACTCTGAGGAGCACTAAGTTGTAATGTGCTTTGCTGGTTGGCTTTGGCTTAGAATGTTGGGTAAACTCAACCATTGTGGTTTATAAACCATGGTTACTGGCTTAATACACTGAATGAACCCAGCTAATTGCAGCTTATTCCTGTAGTTTAATATAAATTATGAACTAGCTAATATATCTGTGTTTATGTGTACCATATCCAGAACTATTGAAAAGAACAGCATTAAAAGTGATCAACAGTTATAGTCCTATTACAAAGCATATTCTCGACCTTTCAGTAAACTTGATAGAGAAGCACATGTTTAAAAATCAAATTATTTATAGGCCTGCACAATTGATATTTGTGAGTAAACTTGAACAAGGCCAGTACCTTCACACATCCATTTCAAATTTGGCAGCTCCATCTCTCAAGGTTTAATTATGGCCTGGAGAATGGTTTGAGTTCATCTATAAAAGTAAAGATTTGAAAACTACTATTCTGATTCCACTTTCAGCAGGATGCTTCAGGCCAAATTCAGTTGCTTACATGCTATGTATAATTGAACACATTTAAATATGGAAACTATTTCCTTTTACAGTTAAACTGTGTTGAAAATATAATTTTAAATTGAGCTAAACTGGTACAGCAAATCTATATCATGCTTACATTTCCTTTGTACTGACCACTACAATCAATAATATTTTTAGAGACAGGGCTGGCATCATGGAGCAGAATCCTAGTGTAGATGCCAAGAAGTAATCATTGCTGGATTGCTCTTTTGGCCTTTTTTCCCCCTAGAATTTAAATAAATGCCGGGTGACCTTCATTGGTATTCTCTATGATGGTCAAGAGTGATGTTATCTCAGTCAGAGACACTGTTGACAGTTATAATAGCACTGCTATACCTCTCAAGTAAACTGGTGCCCCCACCCTCTTTCTATCTTTTGCAAGTCTTATTAAGGTCTCTAACTGAAGAGAGGATGTATAAATAATTCCCTGTGAAACCTAGAGCTGGTTTGGGTTGGAAATAATTTAAATTTCTGATTTAATGTATAATTTGTTGGGTAATCCATGTGCAATCTTTATCACTGCAGCTGAAGACCTCATTGTCTATGCTCCAGAGTAGTTTTGATCACCTAAACAAGACCAAAGATTGGAAGCCTGAAAACTGATGTCACCAAAACCAACTACTAAGAAGAATGAAAATATATTGTTGTGATGCTTCTTTTTCTCACAGTTTTCTCCTCACAACACTTTCACATATAATAAATATTGCTCTGGAATATGCTCCTTTAAAAAAGAACTTACTAGTTTGTGAATCTTCCTGACCTACTTGATGTCTTATGTGTGTGTCTCGGTATATGTATGTGTGAGAAAACACTTTCTTGAGCTGTGAATTCTTGGTGAAAATGAATGATTGAGAACACAGAGAGCTGATAATTATATAATATATAGATTGCAGAGATACACTTCAGCAAATCAATGCACTATCTAAAGTAATAAACACTGGATTTAGATGGGAACAATCTTAAGTGTTATGAAAGATGCAATATAAAATGTCTTGTTTAGTTTATCACATGCAGAGTTTTTCATATCTTCTTCCTTATGTCAGTGTAAGAAATCTTCAAAAGTAAATTGTTACAACGTTTAGTTTATGTGTTCCAGATATCTATGAGTATATCTAAACTTTACATATAGCTTTTTCTGTTTGGGGGGTTTGCTTTATGGGTTATTACATTTCTTCCTCTTAGTCACTGTCATTTCAATTCTCAGAATTTCTCAGGGAATTTTCATTCATGTCTGGAAGTCATATTTAGCAATGTCCAACTCTATGTATTTTTAAAAAGTAACTAATGTATTATTTGATTTATATATTGTATTACAACCTTAGAGAGTTCTTGTAAGAATAGGCTTACCATTTTATAGTCTTCAAGGCCTGGTGGATCATGTCCTTCGTAACAATTAAAGATGCAGACTGTGATATGTAAGTGCAATAAATAGGAATTACTGTTTTCTGCTCTGATTAAGAAAACTCTAAGCAGCCCCTGAAAATTTTTTACTGAACTTCTGATAGAAAAGAACAAAAACATTGAAAGTGTGGTGCAAATAAAACTATGAACTTACAGTACAATATAGTTTCATTATGCAGTATATCTTTCTGTTAAGAGGAAGTTACCTTATTTTTATCTAATTGACTTCTGCTTAGGAACTTTAATTACCATTTGTCTTTTGTCAAAAGTGCTTTTTTCCTTCTTATATATGAAACTAGTTTTAACTGATGGACCAGAAATACCCAAGGGATTTTTAAAAAATGATTATTATTCACAAGTATAATTAGCAGTAGCTATTTACAAAGTAGGTAGCAATGTATTAAGTGTAAACTACTACACAATTTCTTAGATTATAATTTAATAAAATAACAAAAATAGTTGCTTCTAAATGATGGGTGCTATCAGAGATCCAGTTTGGTGTAGTGATTAAGACACCAGGCTAGAAACTGGAAGACTGTGAGTTGTAGTCCCGCCTTAGGCACAAAGCCAGCTGTCCAGTCGCTCACTCTCAGCCCTAGGAAGGAGGCAATGGCAAACCACTTTGAAATCTTGCCAAGAAAACTGCAGACATTTGTCTAGGCGGTCGCCAGGAGCCAACACTGACTTGAAGGCACCCCCCCCCCAAAAATCAGTCCAGAAGCATTCTGTATTTGTCTCCATAATTGTTTTTTTTGTGGTGTAGTGAATAGCTGAGGCTCCAGGATGGAGGTGCCAAACCTCCTCTCTTAAGAAGACTTCACACCTTGATCCCACCTTCTGTATTGAGATCGTGGCTTAGTAATTCCTGCTGTCACTATCTACCATCCAGAGGGTGCCTCATTTGGCATCTACCCCGTATTCCTGCCTAAAATGTCAAAATGCAAAAAACCTGAAATAATTATAATGACTCCCCTTGATCACATAGTGCAGAGGCACAATGACTAAAAAGATCCAGCCCTTTTCCCCACTGGGAGATACACCAATCTTATGGGAGGTTGGTGTATCTCTGGTATAACCAGAGAATTAAGAATACATTATGGTACTGTAAGTGTCTCTTTATATTCTTTTTTTATACTCAAAATAAAAACAATATTGATTGTGGGGATGTTTGTAAGTATACATGGAGACAGAAACAATTTGTGGGAAACTTGGAAGTACATTGAGTACACTGCTGGTCAGTAGAATAGTATAATTAGCTCATTATATCAGCTGCAATGTTACCTAGACAGTTATCCATGCTCTGGTAACATTTTGATTGTGTTATTACTATTTAGCAGTGTTTCTCAACCTTCTCAACCTTGGCCACTTAAAGATATGTGGACTTCCCAGGGAGTTGAAGTCCACACATCTTCAAGTGGCCAAGGTTGAGAAACACTGTTGTATACTGTATACAGAACTACCTTTCTAAATTATTTGGAAAATTCAGTCCAAAATCAAGCTGCTAGGATACCAACCAACACAGGCTGATATAATCATATGATAGCATTTTTGTTGCATAGACCTTCAGTCTTTCTAGGCTCAACAGTTAGGATCAGAGTTTTCAAAGGAGTATCTCTTCTCAGATTTACCTGCCTGGACAGTTGGGTCATCTTTGCCAAGTGTCCTTACCATATTATATTACTGAAGTATATTACCCAAATATACCGGAATGGCAAAAGAGCCTTTTCAGTTGTGAAGCCCTTCTTATGCCCTACTTGCCCTCATAAAAATCCTTGCTAAGAGCCTACAAAGTGATGTTTTCAGGGCCAAGCAAAGGTGTTCCTCTTGTTTTATTATTTGATTTTAGATTGTGGAATCTGCTCTATATTTTATTGTTTATTGTTGTCTGTTTTTGGTTTTTTATTGACTATTGTTTTCTAATCCCACGTCATTTGCCCAAAGAATTTTTCTTACTAGGTTGACTAAAATATGGTAAAAAAAATTAAAGATGAAACTTCTGAGTAAATAGATTGCCTCTAAAATCACGGAAGACAAGAGAAAAAGCCCTATGTGACTCTCAAGACACCCATGATTAACATTTAGCAGGAAAATGTAAATATAATGCTAGATTTTTTTTTTAAAGGAAATGAATGAATCTAATTATCCCAAAGTACTAAAGAGAAACATGGCACATACTTATCGGATGAAAGGGAATGCGAGTACTTTGAAACAAACACGGTAATTGTTGCCAGATGAACTTACAAAAGCAATTGGAAAATGAAGCTTCTACCTGGTTAAAAGCAGAAAAATGACTGAGGTAGCTAATCCCGAATTCCTTTAAAGCAAATGTTACTCTCCATTGTGGACCTAGGCAACATGGTTCTATATTCCATCCACCAGTATTACTGTAAATAGCTGTCTTATATTACAAACAGGTGAAAGAAAGCTAGATTACTTGTATTTCTTTTAGTGCTACTTTGTAATATGAGTAGGAACTCATCTGCACCAGTTACTTTTGTAAGTTAATGTTGATGAATTACCCCTGCTACATAGATCTATTATTGTCATGTTGTTTATCCTCCCCCAAATGTATATATAAATAGAAACATTTTCATGGAAATGTAAAAGAGAGAATATAAACATGATAGCTGTTCGACAAACCTGTAATTACATTTTTAAAAAATGGTAAATTAAGACCTTTTAATTCTGTAAAAAGGGTTTATAAAATAGGAAATGAGATCTAGTTTGATCACCTACATTGGCTAAAGCCATTCCATTCACTAGTTTATAATCTGAACTGTTGTTTTAGAAGAAATTGATTTTTTGATTTAGTGCATTTTGGTTGGTGACGGAAAATGTGCAAAGTGCAGATGTCCCATTAGCTTTGCCTGTATGTGTGAATATTAGGAACTGAGAATAAATTTATGTTTTAATTAAAGAATGGATATAAATAGGGGTTAAAAAAAAACTTATGGCATTACGTCCTTCCTCATAATTACTTGCTTTTGTTCCTTTTTTGTCTGCCACTGGTAAAATATGCCCAAAAGGTTTTGCCTGCTGCAGATGTAATCGATTGGTGCAATATTCTTCTTGTGATTATGGTGTGGATACATAAATCTGCAGAAGTAATTTAACCGTCAATAACCGTAGCTGATTTGGTGGGGGGAAAAATGCAGGACAGCCAAAATAAGCGGGCATAATCGATTGGTGGGTGAAACTCATTCGGGAGCAAAAACTTTCTGGCCATAAAACGAGTAAGATCCAAATCGTGCATTAATTCAACATATTCTAGGTCCTGACGACGTAATTCAACTACATGGGCGTGCATGCGAGACCAAAAAGTAGTTGGCGCTGGCCTGTGGTCGTCTATGTGTTGGTTAAATAATTTTCCCCTCCGACGTCGGTTTATTGTCTATAGTATACCAGGGACCAGGTCTCCTTCCCCTACAATCCACACTAACAGCTCTTCTACAAAGACAGCCTCGTCGCTACAGTAATTGGGACTAAGGTAAACCTCGCCTTCGCTGCCCTCCCGGCAGTGGGCCGATCTCCGTGACGTCACAAAAGGAAAGGAAAAGACCGGCATTCTATGGAAGCCGGAAGCTTCAGGTCGCGGTGAGGACTGCGAGATGGGAGGGGTCATGTGCCTTGAAAGCAGGCGTGAAACTAAGGAAGGCGAAGCCTGCCGAGAATTCTACCAGTCGTGGCCAAGGAAGGGAAGCGCTGGGAGCCCTTCTCCCTTCCGTTCCTTTTCTTCACCTTCCCCGGAGTTGGAAATCGGAATGGCAACAAGAATGTTGGGGCGGGGGAGTCACGGGCCGGGCAAGAAGTGCTTATACGAAGGTTACAGCGGTCGCGCTTTGCTCTGATAGAACGGGCAGGGTGGTTCAGTAGCGGATCCTTCTGGGAGGAATCCTGTGTTACCTATAGTGTACTTTCCTACAGGGATCCTGTATTGTTCGGTGTTCGGTCACAGGTAGCAGGTGGAGTTCCCCTGGAAAAAGTCTGTCTGTACGTGAGCGCTCCCCCAACGTCTTTCGCCTACACGAATCTTTGGCAAAATTCAGCGTTCGGCAGCTCACTCAGGACCTCTTATTGCTGCTACCGGGGCTGAAACATGGTCAAGCGGGCAGGAAAGAGAGCGAGAGCCCACGAGATGGAGGATCCTCTCTGTTGCTGCGAGTATCTCGATCGGAAGGGCCAGAGGAGCCACCTGGCGGCGTGTTTCTGCGAATGCGAGGACCTCGACGAGTGCTGTGAAAGGTACGGAGGGGGCTCCGCCTGAGAATTGCTTCAAGCTGGGATTTCGTTGGGGAGGAGGCAGGGGATCCGGCGCGGCTGGCATTTCGCGGGCTTTGAAGCGTGCTCTGGATCTACGCACGGTGAGACTGAGTTTAGAATATAGTCTGTTTTAGGATAGACCACAGATGCCACCACATGGCTTGTACCGAAGGTGGATTTTTTTAAAAAACGTGCCTTCCCATCCTAGCGCCTTTCTGACTCATTGGGTCTATAGTTCCCGTCCTTCTGCATAAATAACCTTGTCGACCAGGGATGCTGTTGCCTTGCTTATATGAAAGGTTACAATTTCAAAGGTTGCTGTGCCTGGTTATTTGGCTGCCTTTGCTTGGTCAAGCTGCAGGATTCCTAATTACCATGATGATTTATTGAAACAACCATCATTTGTGATACTACTAGAATCATGTGAAGAGTGCAATAGAAACAGAACAAGATAGAATCAAGACGAGGGAGAAGCTGATGAGGACAACTGGTGTCATATCAGGCAGTTAAAATGCCTGAAGAAAGAAAACTGTTTTGGGCAGGAATTGAAACACATGAGAAGCAGGAGTTTGTAAGTGGTGCCTCTAGAGCCAAGTTTCTCAAACTTGGCAACCTTAAGAAGTGTGGACTTCAACTCCCAGAATTCCCCAGCCAGCAATGCTGGCTGAAGAATTCTGGGAGTCGAAGTCCACACATCTTAAGGTCGCCAAGTTTGAGAAACACTGCTCTAGACCTTTCACACACTAAGACAGATATTCCATAAAATAGGGGATTTCTTTTCCTAGTGAAGAAAACCTTGCTGAATTCCTGCATTAGTTCTATCTTTTATGGGCCTGACTGAGAAATGATAGGACTGTGGCAATACAGAAGGATCTTTGTTTTCCCTCTAGGGTTAAAACTCAGTAATTGGTTTCAGAAGGCAAAAACCCCACACTACACTATATTTGCAGTCTAAGTTGATTATATTATCTTATACCTATCATATATAGAGAATTGTACCTCTTTACTATGCTGTCTGAATCATACATGTGCAGTCAGTGAAACACTTGTATGGCACTCTTAACACTACAGATTGCATATAAATCTTTTAAATAAAATAAATAAATACTTTTCCAGTTACCAATTATTCCTAATTAAAGTGACTTAAGACCCTACATGAGCCACATGAATTTACAGAAACAAGGGAAACAAAATCTTTAGGTAGCAGTAATTTAGCACAGGATAAACTCCCACCAGGGTTCTTGCTGATAGTGTGGATCAGTGTTCCCTGAGCCACTGCCCTCCAAGTGTGTTGGATTACAATATCCATTGCTGCTAGATTTGGAAGTGATGGGAGTGGTGGTCCAGCTCATCTAGTAGGTTGTGGGGCAGATATGTTGACATTTGTCATGTTTCCTCTGCTGGACTATGGCCTTCTCATCATGCTGGCATGATGAGTGTTGAAGACAGTTCTTGTGTGTGTTATATAAACAGAAACTTGTCCGGAGCTGATGATTGTCCAAAGCTTCTGCTTTTTCTTATGCAAACATGTCTTTAGAAAAGCCTGCTTATCTCCTGTAAAACTGGACTCTAAAGAGCTACCTCCTGCAAGCTCTGATGCAGTGCAGGTTAAAATGACAGAAGCCAGCACAAATGTATTTCTTGTTCTGTTTGGTCTGATATGAGCAGAATTTGTGCTTTTCCCTAACAGGTGGATGACTTGCAAATCTTTACCCCCTGGAATATTAGAGAGAATCGCAGACACCTTCAGGGATCGCTTCCGTTTCCCATGGATTAAGGGGGCTGTAAAGATTGATATCAGCCTCCTTCCGCCAGTCATCTTGCTTCCTTTCTTCCTTCACATAGCAGCTTTGCACTTCCTTTTGGCCCTCATCATCCTGATATTGCTTCCTATACTAGTACTGTGGTATTACTACCTCACACACAGGAAGAAGGGTCAGACCCTCTTCTTCTTAAGCCTGGGGCTATTCTCCCTAGGTTACATGTACTATGTGTTTCTCCAGGAAGTGGTTCCCCAGGGGCATGTAGAGTACAGTCAGGTGGCTCTTCTTACTTGTGGCTTAATCCTGATGCTTGTAGCCCTACATCGAGCCAAGGAAGACCCTGGCTACCTTCTCTGCCAAACAAGCAGTGACAAAGCACTTTGCCAAGGCAGCCGTAGTAATAAGTTCAGCAACAATGGTCTGGGCAGCCCCAGTGGGCTTTGCAAAGCACCTGCCTCTGGTGTTGCTGTAGACAGTAACACTGAGAGCCACTCCAGAACACTGGAAGCAGCAACAGGTCAGGGCACAGAGGACTGGTGCACCAAGTGTCAGTTGCTTAAACCAGCTCGAGCTGGGCACTGCCGAATATGTGGCAGGTGTGTGAAGAGACTGGATCATCACTGCATCTGGTACGTTCCTTAGAGTTTTGAGTTGGCTCTCATGTTTTGTCTAACATTTGTGTTGCTGTGGTTCTCTCTGAAATATTTTTCTACTTTTGGTTTTATCCATGTATGTAAGTAAGTGGTTCCACTGACCTATTATCTCTGTTGAACAGATTGGGCTCCTAAGTCCATATCTTTGGGCTTTCCTGTGCCCTTTATTAGTTGGGGAATTTCGGTCATGCAGATTTGCAGAGTTACAAATAGCAGTTTTCCCAGTACTACCTAAAAGTGGCAGAAGTGAAATACAAGACTTTCTGCATGTAAGTCAGTGTTTCTCAACCTTGGCAACTTTAAGATGTGTGGACTTCAAATCCCAGAACTGAAGAGTTGAAGTCCACACATCTTAAAGTTGCCAGGGTTGGGAAACACTGACTTAAGGTAAGTAGATCCAGTGGGCTGTGCATAGCATTTGCTAAGTTGGACAGTCTTTACTCAAGTTTATTTTGTAAAGACAAGGCAAAGTATTTGTTAAATAGCAAGCACACAGTCTTTCCGGATTAAATATAGATTACATTTATGCACACTTGATGCATAAAACCTGTTGGAATATAGATTATAAACAATTCTGGTCTCACCTTTCCTGATTGGTTGAGGCTGTTTCTGTTTCAACAATGCAGAATTTTTTTCCAGCAGCTACTCTTACGCGGCACAGCATGCTGTTCCTGGGTTATATTTATACAAGTGTTTTTTGAAACCCCCAAAAGAATTCTGCTTCCTTTTCTGATCTGAGACTTGTAGGTGCTCTTTTGTCCATATCAGTGAAGTATAGTTTGTGCATACTTTGTACTGTAAGCTATGATTAGACACTTATTTCAGATTTTAAAAAATGAAACCAAGAACTTAGGCCCTTTGGACTCTTTCTAAATCATGTTACCATAATGTCACATTTTCCCTTTGTTTTTTGGAGGATTAACAACTGTGTTGGAGAACAGAACCATCAAGCTTTTATCCTTGCTCTCTTCCTTTTTCTGCTCACTTCAGTGTATGGGATTTCTTTGACTTTGGATACCATCTGTAGGGGAAAAACCACCCTCAGTGCTCTGTTCTACTGCCCTGGTGTCTATGGAGAATACAGGTGAGAGAAATACTCATTAACTTGATAGGAAGGCGTACATTCTAGTGTTTGGTCCTGGGGATCATATTAGAATAATCTCTAAAGAGAAAATTGTAGGAATTCTATAGTTGATAGAAAGAGTCCATGTAATGATTTAATTTGCTCTTTTGCATGAGAAATGTTGCACTTTAATTAGGAAAATGTAATTGCTTTCCAGGGTGATGCATTGGGAGCTTAATGTTGCATACCCTTTCCTTCTGTGAAGGAAATTTCCCTTATCTCAAATGCCCTGGGCTCTTTTTGGCTGCTAGTGAGAGCTCTCATAACTTCTTTCTTGCCTTTTTAACTGAAAGGGGTATAATTCTCTACCTTCATGTATATGGGCTGTGCTTCCACAGTTGCTTGCACTTTTGTAATCTGTATTTGATGTGTTCCTGTTAAAATCTTGGGTTCACTTATCTATGGAGAAAAAAAAAATAAACCATTTATTTATAATCATTTAAATCTATCCTTCCTAAAGTAGTCATAGACATGTGTGCTAAAAAGAGTAAAATGATATTAACAAAAAGTAACCGGCAATAACATTCAAAGGACATCTAGCAAGGTAGCACTTGCTAGAATCCTTCTAAATAAGTTTTATATTAAAACAAATAAGGGAGCCAAGAATATCTCGTGTGGGAGAAGTGATTTCAGTGGCAGAGTCTCAACACAAATAATTCCATCTTGTATGCTGTTAGCATAATAACTGCCCCATCCCCATATTTAATCTAATGTGCATGGGGTTAGGTGCTTTAAATTACACACGTGGTTTACTTGTTACTGAAGTTTACCCGAAATAAGGGAATGCTCCAGGCTACCAATGGAAAATTATTTTCTTTCATGAACCTTTGCATTAAGCCTATATTAAACAGAATATTCTTGCTTTCTGTTTCTCACTTAGTTCAGCCCTGACATTCACCTGTGTATGGTACTGTGTCATTGTAACTTCTGGTATGGGCTACATCCTTCTTCTTCAGCTCTTGAACATCAGCTACAACGTGACTGAGAGGGAGGCTCGAATTGCGTTACGGGAGAATACTGGACGGAGGTTGTTATGGGGTATAGTGGTTGACATAGGCCAGTATAATCAAGGTTTTCTGTACAATTGGATCCAGTTTCTGACTTTGCGCTCACCTGATCTGCAGCAGTCCACTGAAGATGTTGTATGAAGGAGTTTTTATTTATTAACTTTATCATATGTATCTATAAGGCATCCTGGGCCTCTCATCTGCTGCTAGTGAAGCATGGAGTGTGAAGATCCTTTGAAGCCATATTGCAAGCTAGAACATCACTTTCTCAGAAACATGCAAATACCAAACACTTGGTAGGAAGACCTGGGTATGGCTGTGATTGCTTATATCCTTCACTTGATACCTGTTAGTTTCAAGTAAGGAAATGGAAATATAAAACAACCATCACAAGTGAAAGAAGTGGAGACCTCCCTGTTGTTTGATATGACCTTGGGGTTTTGGCATTTCCTTGGAGGCAGTTCATACATTCTGCTCTTGGGTCATTCTGTGACATATATGAATATATGAATCAGGCGATAGGATTATATGCTGGAAGTCATAGGTTGAGGGAGGCATAGTCTCACAGTTCCAACAATGAGTTGCCTTTAATTCATTGTTTCTCTAAATGAAGGGCAGCCCCCTACATCTCTTGACTCTAAAGATTCAGAAGAGGAGAATGTATCATATGTCAAGCCAAAGGTATTCAACTTCGAGCAGAAAATACTTCACAAGTTTCCAATGTGCTATGCCAAATATGAATTGTGGAGGGGCAGGTTGATTCCAGGAGGGATCCTGATACACCATTTTCTTGTTCTAATTTTTCTGTTTGGGATTCGCCTTTGGATTCATGCCCCAAATTTAGCAGACTGCATACTTCATTTCATGCACTTGTCTGACCAAAAGATAGTTGTTATTATGGGATAATCGAGAAGAAGGTTCTCAGTGTCACTTAATCATGATATATTGTAGCAAAAATACTTGAATTTTTTTTAATTTTATTGTTGCAAATTCTGATCTTTGTTAATGGACTTGATGAATTAAAAAGGGAACTCCGCTCACTTTCATGCTTTTACCAGAAAACTCTACAATGTTGTACTCCTTAATATCTTCGTATTAGAAGAACTGAGATACATAAGTGCCTATAGGATGGGCTTTTTTTAAAGCTGTGATTTGCATGGCTGGGTGGTTTAGGGTTTTTCTTTTTAATACCATTACCTCCTTACTTAGAGAATATGGTTGCTTTTAATTAATATACTTATCCCTCACCTCCAAGATGGCTCATAATGAACAATTAAAAAGGCTGTTTTTCCATTTAAATTTAAACTGCCTAGAGTCACTGAGAGTCGGGTGGCATATAAATAAAATAAATAAACATTAAGTAGTTAATAAAAGCAAGCCCTTAAAACACTTGAATTCAAAATCATATCAAATCAGCAACTACTTTAGATTGAAAAAGAATACTGCAAATTGCACATGATTAAAATCACAGCTGATTATGGATCATCAGCTTAAACTTAGGTTCTTGTTTGAGGGCCTTATAAGAATCCATCAAACTGATAGTTTTAAACATTTTAAAACATGCAAGTGTGATTTGTATAAACTTCAGTTCAATCAAGTAGAAAAGGAAGCTGCAGTTATATTGAGAAAAATAGTTACTTGAAGGACTGGAGAGCGTACATTTCTTTTGTCTGGTGTAGAGATGACCATGTGCTAGATAATTTTTTGTAATTGATCTGGCATTTGCTAAAATTTGCTGTGGTTCTAATACATATGTAGCAACAGCAGCATTATTCCGAAGAAGATACTAACTCAGTTATGATAGGATTATGTACATAGTAAAGTCCAATAGTAGAAATTTATTGGGGGGGGGGTTTACAATAGAATATATTTTTAAATAGTTTTATCTTGGCTACAATCATAGGGAGTAATTCACTTGCTGTTGTCAAGGAAGTTTTCTCCTAATGAAAAATTGTGCTATGTTTGCTCTGATCAATACCTTGGGGCCTATATAAGCTTTAGGTAGCACAATTTTCAAGTTGAAACAAATCTGTTTCATCTGCATTTGGCACACTGCTGGAATGTGAAAGATTAGTAGGACATCCATTAGTAGGATTTTATCTACAGCAGTTGCTACTTCTGGAGCTTGGTGCTAATGGGCAACCCACTTGCTGCTTTCATTCTATTGAAAAGGATCTGATTTTAAAACTTCAGGGTTTTTTAAATCCCGTCTGTCAGAATATTTAAGAAGAAATCCTCTAGTCCTCAGCAATTGTGCAGTGCTACGTAGAATAGATGCATATTTTGATAAGTATGTACAAACTGGAAATTAAAAAGGAAAGTTTTTCTTTCTGTGGTAATGATACGTACTCAAGACAAAATTCAAGTGAGCATTCCTGGGACAGACTAAAGGCTGAGCATAGTATCTTCCTGGGAAAATATGGTGTTCTTCTGAGTAGCTAGCTTGTAGCTAGAATTAAACTCCTTAATTTTTAAAAATACATTTAATTCCCAGGTTCTCTTTTTAATATTCACTTGAAATGGTAAATTATACAACATACTTAACAATCGAAAAAAGCTTCTAGATAGTGTAGGTAGTGCAGCTATAAATGAAGAAATAATTACTGATATATGTTTGAGAGGGTTTTTTCCCCCTCCTCAATGCACTAAAATGATCAATTTTGCCTCCATGTCCTCACCCTATATAATCTCAAAGAAGCTGACAAAAGATTCTTGCCTTGTGCTGTCAGGACCCAATGTGAAAAGGCTAGACACTGAAGATAAATATCTTGTAAAATGAAGGGATGTTGCAAGGAGCAATGGAATGCATTAACAATCCACATTAATCAACTTTTTAGCTTTCCTCAGGAAAGTTGAAACGATTACCTCCTGGGTGTCAGAAACATAACGCACAGTTTTCTGAAGGAAGTGTTGCTATGTAAAGGCAGTTTAATGTAGCTACAATTAGGCTAACTGAAAGAGATTTCTAAAGCATCTGTTGTGTATTGCAATGAAGTAGAATATAATACCATCTAGCCTTTTGCACTGAAGGGAATTCCGAAATTCTGAAACGGTTAAGATTGTATAATAGCATTTTCTATTTAAAATCTCTTCTGTGTTACTCAGTGAATTCTAGTGCAGAGGCTAGGGTGAATTTTTAAGGAGCAGACTTCCTGGGTTGTTTTTGCTGATCAAGATCAAATGCTGGTAATATGAAAGCCTTGCTGTGAGCCCATTGAGAAGCACAGGGGTACAAATAACCTACTGCTACTTTGTACTTTGTTTGTTTTTTAATCTGTTCAATCATGTCCAATTTTCAGAAACTGCCTGGACAAGTCCCTGCAGTTTCCCTGGCAAGGTTTTTCAGAAGTGGTTTGCCATTGCCTTCTTCCCAGGGCTGAGAGAAAGTGGCTGGCCCAAGGTCACCCAGCTGGCTTTGTGCCTAGATGGGACTAGAATTCACGGTCTCCCGGTTTCTAGCCTGATGCCTTAACCACTACACCAACTGGCTGTCTACTTTGCAATTATACAGTTATAGTTCCATTGCCACATATCCTGGCTATTTAACCATTTACTCCACTTCTTTAAAATGGCTTAAGTAATATATATTATATCTCAGTGGATCAACAGCATTTCAGACACACACGCACATTATTTTAATGGTGCTTTTTTCTTTTATACTAAATTAGTTTCAAGTGTCTTAAAAATAATTTGTGGTGAGAGTGTTTTTTATAGTAAGTAATAACTGCCTAACAGTCTGATGTCTTAAATGTTCTCTGATTTTAATCAAGTTATGAATGTATTTTGCCCTTGCAGGGTAGAATCAAAGTTTTTTTTTTCCTTATCATAAGTAACGATCGTTTCCCAAAATCTTTCTTCCATCTGACTGTACATGGAAGAACTTTAAGAAAACAGGACATTTGCCTTCTTGTTGGTTTACAATTCTTAGATTTTTTTTGACAGTTGGAATATCTGATGAATATTAAAAAATGGCTTCTATCTGAAATATTTGGATATTTAATTTTGAAATGCTTTACTATAAATTTGATTGCATATTATAGTAGTATTTATTTTTATAAGCTTAATGGTTGATATAAGTTAATACAAAGTTAAATGTTTAAAATGTATATAATCACTCAAATGAATAAAATAATAGAGACAGATTATTTCACCATTAAACACCATGATTTAATAAACCACAGCTACTATCCTTTTCAGTTTTGTTTTTTTTTACATTTTTTAAATCTGAAGCTGATGGGAAGATGGGTTAAATTTTATATTTATGCTTATCAGCCTAATTGCTAATAGGTTTTAGGGAACAGAGGGAATTCAAACAGATGCTTTGTACTCAAAATTTTTGAAGCTAGAGATAGAAAGTGTAATTATTACTAACAACGCAGTCAAAAGGTCATTTGAAAAAAATAAGGGTACTAATACAATAGGGAATTATTCCATAAGATTATTCTGCATGTGATTTCTTGTAACAGATGAACACATCTGCACTACAAATGGAATATCATTTAAAGTTGTCCCTATTTGTCCTTAAAGAATTAGCTATTATGTTTTGGAGGAAAAGCAAACTTGGGATGAGCATCAAATGGCCCTTTCGATTTAGAGGGCATTGGACTTACAAACTGATTGATTATATGCCATCAAGTTGTTGTCGATCTTTAGTGACCACATAGATAGAGAAGCTGAAGTCAATAATGGTTGGCTTGCCACAATCTAAGAAAAGATTCTCATACTGATATGTAGCTAGTAACCAAGGACAAACTGGCCTGCATTTTGCGAAGAGATTGGTGACTTCCCTGTGGCGCTGTAGATGTCGATGTGGAAGGAAGGAAGTCAAAACTAATAGCATTGAATTGCTTATAAATAAGTTCCACATTTGAAAGCGAAGTTACTGGCCAGAATTCGTATATTCTCGTTTCAACGTTTTCCCTAATAAAATTTAATACTCCAGCTTTAGAATTATTCCCTTGCTGTTTTTCTGTAGTCATAATTGTTGCTAGGGAGATTTGACCTTCCTGTTTCTGGTTATTATTAGCCATAGAGTGTAAGATTCCAACTGGAAGTTGAAGTGAAAAGCCAACAGTTGAGAAACTCAAATATGTAAAGCAGCAGCAGAATTTTGTAGCCAAGGAGAGAGACTGACAACTAGCAAATTCCCAGGGGCTTCAGAAGGCTGAAGGAGGAATGCATATGAATGTGAGAAACATGAATCTCTCTCTGGTGAACTCCTGATGCAATTGGTTCATTTAGCTTTGTAAAGCTGCTGGATGTGGTATTTTCTAAATGACTGGGTTATACAAACCCAAGACTATCAGCAACCTGTGCAGATGAGAAGGATGTCATTTCAACAAGTTATTAAGCATTATAAGGCATATACTTGGGTATCTAATACTGGAAGCTATTTTAAGCTGCCTACCAGATCTCTTTGTTTCCAAGCCCTGCCTTATTATCTGTATTGTTGTTCAAATGATTTAGTGATTGTTACTGAGCTTATTGCTCATGAGTAAGCAGAAGGCAAATAATAATTGGTAATTAATATAGCTAGACTTTAAAAAAAGAGAGCTAAATTTGGGGTATAGAAGTGACTATATCCTTATGGTAATTTAACATGCATCCTGAGTCTTTAAGTACACTGCATTTACCTCCTAGTTGGTGGAATATGGGCAACAGTATGTTGGCTCACCAGGAAGTCTCTAGATTACAGATCCTAGCTTGTGTAGAATAACATGAGTGTGCTTATAGTGAAATTAGGCTTTGGTTGTACTTATGGATACTGGCTAAAATGTCCTCTAGATTGACCAGTACTGTGTTCTTACAGTTAGGGAATTCTTCACCTATGTTACACAGTGCTTCTGTATTGACAGAATTACAAATATATTTAAAAGTAGTGTCTTCTCTCTATAAAGTAAACTAAATATATTAGCAGCAATTAAAGCCAAATGTACCCGTACCTGGAAATGATGTAAGAGGCATTAGAGATGAGTGAAGCTAAACACTCTCCTGTACCTAGTCTTTTGTGCTATGTGATTTTCTTCTGGCTAAACCAGCAGTTTTGGGGGGTGGGGAACAACTGTGACTCATGTGGGTAAACTATAGTGAAGCCTACTGACATGAACATCTGCAGCAAATTCAGATTGTTGAAACAACGAGGCACATGAAGACATCACGATGGAAGTTCTGCTCTTGCATACTTAAATCCCATGTACTTGAATGCAAGCACGTAAGTCACCAATTTTGCATCATGTTTTGACATTTCATGTCTGTAGTGGAAAGAGGGAATGGCCTTGAAGGACAGGAGGAAGAACCACTAGCAAGGCAATGGTCAGATAAAAGGGGACTGAGCACAGGCCAGGAAAGTAACTTGAATGAATGTCTCAGACAAGGCCCTCCTAGTCCACATGAAGATAAAGGGAAGCGCATTTAGACTTGCAAGATTATTATGATAGCTGTTGAGTGCTGACTTAAATGGCACTGGTTTTTTAGTCTGCTCTACCATGAAGGGCTGACAATTCCTGCTTAGGGCTTAGTTGTGTATTATCTCTTGCCATATTCTTTTGTTCCTTTCAAGCTCCCACCACCACCACCTTCGGTACAGAAAATGATACAGCTTGCAAACACAGACCATTTTTGAAAGACATTCCAGTGCAGAGACAACAGGATAGTTTGAAGATATTATGGGTAGATAAATCTGAAAAATTTTCTGAACTTTTCAAGGCTCCTGCTTGTAGGTTAAGGAATCACAGATGGCAAATCAAATCTGTCAATTCCATATCTTTGAAAAACTGGACAAACTAGGGTATCTGTTCCAGCTTTAAAATCAAATATTTCCTAAATGAGCTGGCCATCTGGAATCAATCAGTACAGTGATATTCTATGAATACCTCACATTTTTACAGCAGAGAAGTCTAGCAAAAAGTGGGGCATCTTAACTGTTGAAAAAGTGAACTAGAACCTAACACTGAATTATTGCTAACTTTATAATTAGGAACACTACCAGCACTTTTCAGCTGTTGGCTTATTTTTTCACCTATTCTGTAAACTGGATTTTCTCATGAACTGCAGTGTGTGGATTCAATAGTTTTTCAGTAGACTTGCTGGTTGATTCTTTTAGCAGCACAACAAAGTTTCAGCAATATAATACTGTAGATGAATTTCCAGACCTTCCATTACAGGAATTCTAGTTAGTGTGACCCATGCAGTAACGTAATGCATCATTAGTAGACAGGGCAGAAATACCTTAGGATATGAAAATAGGAGGGCTTAAATGTACCTTAGCTAAGAAAGTAAGCAGATTCTAATTCACTGTAATGAATGGCCACCTTAGAAATTGAAGATGGCAGTCTACTACATATTCTGTAACTTGTGTAGTATCTCTTGGATGACACAAATGTTCCTACTACATTTTCAGTTTGGATTTAAGGCAGATTTTTTAATACTGATCCTCCTTTGATTGCCCTGTGGGATGACCTCTACTGAGGAGTTTTTCCACAGCTTGAAGTTCTATTTACCACCGTATCCTTTTTGAACTAGGCTACTTAAGTGATTCTGGTTTGTTTTTTTTTTTCAGTATAAGGCTGATATAACTTGGGCTTATCTGTGTCAGTGGATCTTTTTTTAATCTATATATCACATACAGAGACTTTGTGAATCATTTAATAAGTTTAATTATAATATTTGGACAATTTTAGATGCAGTACAGCCAACCAACTTCTTCAGTAGAGAAAAAGCCCACATATACATTCAGGATATGATGGTTTATAGTAATTAAAACATGAATATAAAATGGTATATATAAGATTATATTAATCATCTCAGCTGCACCAAGCATTTGAACTATAACTCCTGAAACCTACTGTCTGATAACTGGCAGCATATTAATTATAAATTTTCCTATAGCAATTTTCTGATACAGTCCCAGAATAGCCAAACTTTCTATCCCAAACTGACAGAGTAGTCATATTCAACTACCAAAAAATTTGGGATAGTTAAATATGAAAGCCAGGACCAACAAGCACATTATATGGCTGACAGTAAAATAATCTTTGCATTGCTGATGGACAAAAAACCCCTCCATACCTTTAAAAGTGCATACTTAAACTGAGTAATCCCCAAGCATTTTATAAAATTATGATCTGGTTTTATGGTATGTGTGATACTAAAAGTAAGGACATTATCTAGAAGGGAGGAAAAGTTGTTCAGAAATGAGAAGCAAGATTTCTGCTGCAAACTTAATTATACTGATGTTAGTTTTTTCTATCAATTCTGGACTCCCTTTACAATTACATACAGCAGGATTGAAGCTACTTCCCTTGATAACATAACATAAGATCTTATGTTATTACAGGGCATGGAAGTGTATTCCAACCATGTGGAAACTGTCTCGCCAGCAGCTAAGGACAAGACTACGCACAGCTAGTATTGGTTAACTGGTTGTTTTTGAATTTATATTGCAGCTGTTTGGGATAGACGACAAGAAATGTCTTGATGTAGATGTATGTAAACAGCAAGGACCATCACTATGTTAACACTGTGGATTCTCAACAGCTGTACTGCAAAAGACAAATTCTGATCTTAAGGCCAATTCTGATTGCAAAGCAGACATTCAGTACGAATTCCCTTGCAAACCAAAGATGCTGTCACATTGTTGATAGAAGGAAAAAAGGCACATAGAGATGAGTTTACTGAAATGGTGCTACAGAGTCAGTCTCAGCTAGAGGATTTGTCACATGAACATTTTTTTCCTCCAAGTTCCATTTGTCTTCTGGGCTGAAATCCTTCTGTCATGCTTGGAAATCTGGCAAAATTTCAGCTACTCTCTTTCTTAGCTTTCCTAGTCTTTCTTCTTTTTCTCTTTCCTCTTTCATCTCTGCTGGGTACTGTTGCCAGGCTCTGAAAGCAAGTAGTATCATTCTCCTGTATCACACAAAGTGTAAGAGAAAAAAAAAAAGGCAGTAGAATTGTAAGCAGGTATGCATATGTTTATTAAAACTTTTTTTTCATTATTCTCATACTTGCCCCACACTAAGCAAACAGCTTTAAAAAATAAGCTATTACTGTTGAGGCAGATATGATTATGAAGTAATGTACTATTTGCTCCTTACTCTTTCAGGTATTGAGCATGTCAGTTTGATAGGGAATTTCCCTAGAGAAAATAGATGCTAAATGTCACTAGTCTCTAGACAAATAGTCTGTTTATGCTCAGAAATCACAGTATCTCATTGTTTTCAATTATTATAAAAGGTATTGAAAGTTCTTCTCTATCCATGTAGAGAACTACTTGCCAAGATTTTATGTGTAGAACGGTATCTCAAACATAACAGCTGACTATTGACTGCATCCAATGTACTATAGATTCATGAAAACAAAGTGAATGTTTGCCAAGGTCCCATGTAATCCACCATTCTCTGTGTTACATAATGGCCAAACAAATGTGTACAAGAACCTCACAGATAGGGATGGGAGGGCCATAACTCAATAGATACCACCACAAAACTTTAATTCTTACAATATTCATCATGGAACATACTCCTAATATTGTACAGATTTTTTAAATTATTAGGTTGCATTTCACTTTTTCTCCCAAAGATATATTATTGTCACATCTTTCTATCCCTGTGAGATAAATTTAAACAGAGAATGAGCTTTGTGGCTCGGTGAGGATGTGAACCTGGATTTTTCTCAACTCAGTCTATCACTGATAGATCACCCTGGCTTCCAAAATGTCTTTATGCATAGATGCCTCTCTTCCATCTATGACTTTTATCTATAGGTTTTTTAAGTCTAAGTGATAGTCAAATAGACTGAGGCATGCACTTGGTATTCTCTATTGTTTGGTCTGAAAATCCTATACACCCCTTTCTTTTTAATTCTAAGATTTAAAAGAAAAGGATTTGGAATTCATCTCTATGTTTTAACACATTTTTTTTCCTGAATGGTAAGATTCTGATTTTATCCACTCAAAAATCAGCTGGTGTTATGATTAGCATAGAGTGAAGCCCATATACTAGTAAAAAGCATCTACTGTTAGGCACATACATAACAAAACATTAAACATACTGCGTTTCAAATTGGAATGGGCCTTCCAAATAACATGAAGCAAATTTGTAATAAGTAAAATGAAATAACCTCAGCACTTTGCAAGAAACACAAAAGCTCAATACAGTACAATTTGAGTATCAACCTTTTATTTGGATAAACTCTATTTACCTGTAATTTTTACACATCTAAGTGAGTGACAGTATTTGTCTGGCCTTTTCTTGAATTGGAAACTAATCAGAGTCAAACCTGAGACATCCAGAGAATTCCAAAGCTGTAGGTTAGATCAGGAATTCAAAAAACATCCCAGAAGGCAGTGCTACCGTCACAACAAAAAGTTCATGGCTGTGTCCAGGAAGACACTTAGTGTTTGTACAACTCTAAGGGAACTTTATTTACTTTTTAAGTCTTATACAGTGGGGCAAAAAAGTATTTAGTCAGCCACCAATTGTGCAAGTTCTCCCACTTAAAAAGATGAGAGAGGCCTGTAATTTTCATCATAGGTATACCTCAACTATGAGAGACAAAATGGGGAAAAAAATCCAGAAAATCACATTGTCTGATTTTTAAAGAATTTATTTGCAAATCATGGTGGAAAATAAGTATTTGGTCAATATCAAAAGTTCATCTCAATACTTTGTTATATATCCTTTGTTGGC